ACAATGGTAAGATTTGAGGTAGAGCGTTTGACTGTGAACCAAGTCACATTGCCATCGAAGGTACCATTCTTTAGCTCGGCGATAGCAGAAGAAGTCGAGCTTCAGTCACCCCATGCATCAGGGGGCATGATCCTATTCTGAAGCGAGGAAAAACTGTCGCTTCGAGTAAACAGGGCAAACATCATGAAACAGTAGTAACTGTTCCGAAATATGAAACGATCGTATAGGCTCGCTATAAAAAGCTCTGGATGACTATCGTTTGCTGGTCGGTAACACTTCGACGAAGCTGAGAACGTAAACGATTCTCGTTGCCCTTAGATATTATATATATATATATATATATATATATATATATATGAATATTTAGGGCGCATGATTTTATATTACAGCATCTAGATAAAAACAGATATGTTAATAATTTTGTTATTTGTGCGCTAGAAGTGTCTTTCTGGCGGTCATGTTTACTTAATATAAGAATCAATTTTTAGTCGCGAGCATGTTTTTTCTTGTCTAGGCCGCTGGGGCTGGTGGGATAGGTAGAAGTTAAGTAGCAGAGTTTTGTAGTCATTTGAATACGCTTAGCTTCTAATTACCAAGTGTTGTTTCCGCAAATACTAATCTGCATTTTTAATTCACTTATTATACGTATAGCTTGAAAATTATTGACAACAATTTACAAAATATGTGCGTCAGAGACCGATATACCTGCGTACATCATACACGATGTTAAGCAAGTAAAATATATACGTGAACATAACAGTGTTATGTAGCGATAGTAAAGATCGCGATATATTGCCGGTAAGGAAAATCGTCCCTGTTTTAACAGATGCAGCATTGTAATTCCTGATAGTACCCATTCTAGCGCTCACCTCGGCAACAATGCATACATTAAATTTCCTATAACGTCTGTGTAGATTGACAGACTTCATACCGATAGTCTAGTAAATGATAGCGATATCCTTTCCATGCATAAAAAAATTAGAAGATCAGTTTCAAGCTAGGAAAATGAACAAATTATATTTTTGCCAGTTCGTTGATTTAAAAATTGTACATTTAAGGCAAGAATAGGTGCATCAGACGTTAGGCCCACCTAAGTAAATGAAGCGACGCCCCGATGTCACTGTAACGTACGTGAGCCTGTGTTTGTTACATTAAAAACCACCCTCCTATATCATCTGATTAGGTGTAGGACACAAGCACAACACTTGTGTTCGTATCCTCTAATATGCAATTCAAGGGAAGCATGGCCTGAAACGCCTCTTTCTGTTAATTGAAAAAGTAAGGGTATACTTTTACCTAAGGAGCAGAAGGACATTTCCGTATCGTAGAAATAGGCAACGCTGAATCTGCGAAAACAGAATGAGCTTTTCTATGTTAAATTTGGTTTACGTAGTTGGATTTTTGACAATTTCGAATTTTTGAGCTACGGCTGTTTTTTTCTCAATCGGTCCATCAAGACCGCCCATAACGGGCCATACATGTTTCGCTAAATATAAATCCTCGCTAAATAGCACGATTATTCGTGAATCATCTGAACTCAAAGTGTAGGTATACGTAAAAAAATTTACTTCCAATAGGTTACCTTTGGTTGGAACTGATGTCCAGTTTTTGTTGCAGGGGCTACTATAAGCAAGACAATGCGATTTCGGTTTCTTTTATTTTTATATGCAGTTGCTAAAAATTGCCTTCCACAGGCTACGGTCTACAGTCGGCTCTCGTCTTTAAATCGTCACCACAAGATATCGGTAAAGCCTGAAAGTAATTCAACTATGCACTGTTTGCAATTGTTCTTCTTCAGTAGTTTGTCAAACAATGAAAAGACACCTAAGTTTGTAAAAAAAAGATATCTAAACCTGCCAGGAGTATATAGATCGACCATCTAATATCAGCATATACGACATAACGGATCGCCTGAGTGTTCGACGCTTACTGCATAGACACATATACTTTGGGAAAAATCGGCCATGAGCGCTACTTCGAACCCCGCCAACGATACATAACTTGTGTCAATAAACATATCCCAAGTTCTATATTAGAAGCAGCTGTTTTGTCAGTTACAGTGTCGAACAATATTTACTAACTCTATGAAGGAAAAGTCAGATATTTGTTAGAGGTTTAGAGAACTCAAGAGCTGAATTCATAAGACAAAAGGCGGCTGCCATAAACGTTGATAAAAACGATTATACAGGCGGAAAATAAACGGAATTCTTCTTATTAATATATTTCCTTAAACGGGAGGCCTGATGACATTATTTATAACTAGAATCTGAAAAACAATATGATTGGGTCTTATATAAAATGCTATAATCTCTAGACTTCATTATTTATTTCGGTGTTTTCCGTGGCAACGTAGTGTTAGACGATGATATTGTTATTGAAAGCGAGTAGAAATAATTATTAACACAAACTTTGAGATAATAATGATCTTAATTTAGAAAGTTCCTTTGTTCATTTCTATACGTGTCAAACAGTAAATCAAGTTTACTTACGCAAATTTTTGTAGTTGGTAGCTTATCTCGCATTTCTAGCGTTTTTCCCTGCAAAAACAACAAAAAAAAAGGCTGTGATAATGCCCAGCCGGACCCAAAGAAAGCAATTGATTCGACAATCCGTATGATTACGTTGCATTATTTGTAAATTCAAGCGACTTACTATGTTTAAAAGCCACTTCATGTTCAAGTGTAGTTCCAAAAAATTATATAGCGCAGCATATTCATCACAGCAGATCCAATAGAGCATTGAACAGAGACAGGGTCCAATAGTACGGTTCTAACTTGACGTACAAACTTGAGCTTGTAAGTAGAACGACGTCACAAGTTAGTATAGGGATGTATCAAATATATGTTTTGTTTATCGATAAATGAGGCAGACGAACAAGGTAGCTCTTCTGAAAACGTAGAGTGTGTTATTTGCATAGCCTTGAATATACGGATTCCTTTCAATAAACCCACTCAGGTTCTTGGAAAAATAATACGGCACATGAAATGTAGGGCCTTTTCATTATTTTAAATACACTCT